GTAGGAGCTGCAGCCTGTGGAGAGGAGCCCATGTGGGAGCAGGTTTTCTGTCAGGAACTGTGACCTGTGGGGGACCCACACTGGAGCAGTCTGTTACTGAAGGACTATACCCTGTGGAAAGGACCCATGCTGGAGCAGTTCTTGAAGAACTGCAGTCTATGGGAAGGACTCACGTTGGAGAAGTTCATGAAGGACTGTATCCCATGGGAGGGACCCCATGCTGGAGCAGGGGAACAGCGTGAGGATGAAAGAGCAGCAGAGACAGTGTTATGAACTGACCACAAACCCCCAGTCCCTATCCACCTGTGCTGCTCAGGGGGGGAGGAGGTAGATGTCATGAGTGAGTTGAGCCTGGGAAGAAGCAGAAGTGGGAGAAAAGTGGGTTTAGTTTTGGTTTTATTTCTCAATATCCTACTCTCTTATTAACTGGCAAGAAATTGAATTAATTTTCCCCAAGTCAAGTTTTGCCCGTGACAGTAATTGCTGAGCGATCTCCCTGTTTTTATCTTGACCCACGAGCTTTTTCATCATATTTTCTCCCCCTGTTCTGCTGAGGAAGGGGAGTGAGAGAGCAACTTAGTGGGCACCTGGTGGCCAGCCAAGGTCAACTCACCACACTGACACACAGAGAAGGACTGACATCACTGTCCTCATCACGGTGCTGTTCTGCAAGGTGACACACAGGACTGTGACTTCAGAGAGACAGCAGAGGTGTGGAGGGCAAGGCTGTGAGGTCATGTTTAACCAGCCAATGTCCAAAATCAAACCTCTGAGCCCACTTACACAAGCCATGTGTCATCTGAAATTACATCTACCTCTTGAAGACAAACAAATTGCTGTAGAACAGAAAGGCTATGGGTGGCTAGAGCGTGAATGGCAAGGGTATATTCTCCCCAAAAGTGACAAGGTATATTGAGGTTTTAAAAGAGACCTGCCAAACCACTGAACTTTCTCTATCCATCATTCTAGAGAGCCAGAGAAATCTAGATCTACTTTGCAGAGCCCAGAGCTAAAGAGCTACACTTTGGTCATTGTGAGCACAAACCACATCGTGCTGGGAGCAAAGAGAGGCAATGGGGTGGCCAAAGACAGGGATGCCCAGCTCTGAACAATGCCTCTCCTCTGCAAGTTGCAGGGCATGCTTTCCTTCACTGGCCATCCCCACTGGCCAGGCATATATGTAGATATCATCTTCTCCATTTGGGGACAGCAGTATCCCAGGTTGCTCAGGTTTCCCTGATTTTTGCAGAGCAGGGGGGCATGCACTTCTGCTGGATGAAGCTGTGAAGATGCCCCATCCCCCGCTGCCTGCAGGCTGGTGCTTCAGCAAGGCCAAGAGCAGCAGAGCACAAGTTTTCTGGGGACGGTGCCTCTCCACAGGGGCACTGGGACTGGAGTCCGCTGGAATCCTGGACTCCAGATTCAGCAGCTTCCTATCTGAGCCTGCTAGTGAGGGGCTAATTAATGCTCTCTGGGGGCGCACTGCAGATGGAAGGGGAAAGTGAGAGACAGGCAGCCAGACAGGCCAACACTTCAGACATCTGAGCCAGTTGGGCTCCGTGGGCAGAGCTTTCTGCCTGCCGCTTTCCCCAGCAAGTCTCGCCTGCTCTGCAGCGTCACGCCAGGAGAACCTGAGACAGCAAAGCTCTGGTGTCCGTGCAGTTCCCTCGCTGCAATGCATTGATCGGAGCTCTCTTAAAGAAAGTGGCCTGGATATCTGAGACACCTATTGATTGCTCCATCGGCTCTCTTCCTGCCCTGATCCTCATTCACTCGGCACTGCCTGAATAACCTGCACTTCTATGTTAGGGGCAGTCTCCCCAGATCTTAAAGGGCTACATTCACAGCTGTTTGCCTCGCTGCAGCCCATGTAGGGAGGAGAGAAGGTGTCTGGTGACCCTCATAGGCACTCCACAAAGCGAGGGCCTAAGTCTCTCCTGCAGCATCAAGCTGAGCATTTCAAGCATAAGGCAGAAGCTTGAAGTCATGCTTACCTGTTTTTGCCAGCTTTGAATACTGGTGCCTTCTGCCCGAAGAACAGGCTCACACCACACGCCCAGTGGGCAGGAGGTGGTATATACATCATGTATGACAACAAGAACCAGGAAAATCTTTCCTCCCTTAATAAGAAGAAATCATGAAGCCCTTAATTAGGTACTAATGGAATATCATACTCTTCTTCAGAGGAAGGACAGTTTCTTTACCCAGAAATGTCCCCACTAAGTTACCAGCCCAGTGCCACGGACATCAAGGATAAGCCTGTCAAGAGAAGAACTGGTTTCTAGATCTCGCCTTTAACCACAAGACTGTTTTTCCCCAAACTCCTGGTAATCAAGCAGGAGAATGAACCTGGCTTAACAACCTTCTGCCATGGATGAACCCAAGGAAGAAGAGAGAGGTACACCAAGGCAAAGTAGGAAGGGGAACTGTTGAAAGGAAAAAAATCATAGCTCAAGTATCAAGACACATCTTGTCCTAATGAGTGCTTGGAGACTGCAGAATAGGCTCTCTGGGGAAACCAAGACATCAGGGATTTTTAAAAACAGTTAAACTACTAGAAATGTACAGCTGGGAACACTCCTGCCCTGGCAGAGAAAAGGGATGGATGAGCTAATAGGATGACAGATCAGAGATGGAAAAGACCAATGGACCTTTTCTAATCCAAAATCCCTTGTCAATTCTGTGTTTTTGAGCAAGTCAAACAATTATGGATTTGTTCTTTCCAGAAACTCCTGGCTCTGTGGAGACCAAAGACTGTAAAACCATTTTTCTCCCTTTTTGGATTTTTGCTTTTAAAGATGCGTATTGATTGAATTCTGTATACTAATACTTTGTGCTTCCACCAGGCTTCACATAAAGTTAACTAATTGGTCCTCACAATCCTTTTGCAAAGCAAAGCAGTATGACCCTTATTTCTCAGCTCGGGAAACTGAGCAAAAGAAAGAGAAAAAAAGATGGCTGCCCAACATCACTTGACCACCCTGTGTTAGGACACAGGAGTCCTATTTGCAGATTGCTAGTGTAGTCTCCTCCGCTCCTCTTGATATTGTCATGTGTTCTTGCATCCCATTACTATCAATAAATCTTTATACTGTATATTCCACAGCTCTAAATATTATGGGCAGGATCACAGATACACTAACATCAATAGCAAACCACCCTTCCCCAGTGGCTTTAATGATGACGAATCAATCCCTATATGAATAACTAAATACACTTCAGCACAAAAGCAGCCTTAGAGTCAAATTTCAGTTTGCCATAAGTAGTATCCCGCGGGGCTCAGGAGTTCAGGCACAGCATGGTGTGAGTGAACCTACATTGCTTTCCAGCCTAACTCTGGTCTGGAAGCAGTTAACTGTTTTCACACAACTTGGAGGCTAAGCCACAAAACCCTTCACAGGACCCTGCTCTGGACTGTGTCGAACTCCCAGAATTGGAAGCAGAGGATGCCCTGGCCACACAGTCAGACACACCAGCGCCAGCTCCTGTGACTCTGCTCCCCCAGCTGCCAGCTCCAAGAGGCTCAACTGCTTGGACACAGGGCAGCACAGACACAGGCAGCCAGTGAGCCTGGACCCATGCTGCTGCTCTGCAGAGTGACTGGAGCCACATGAGGCTTTTAAGGTTGTTTTATGGGATTCATATGAGCAGGCTAGAGCATATTACCAATCTGTGCTCCCACTAAAGCCAATGTCACTAGTGTGGATTGGTGTGTGAGTAAGGGGATATATCCCCTCCCTGAACTACCGCATGCAGAAAAGCAGGTTTCCAGTGGTCCCTCTCTAACTCCAAAAGTAGGTGCCTCCCTCCCAGCAGTGGATCAAGATCCTCCAAGTCTACCACTTCTACACCTAGGTCAGGGAGGGCCAGACTACACAAGTCTGCATCTCCTTCCCTTGGTAACTGGTGTGCTCTAGCAGGAAGATATTTAACCACAGAAACTACACATCCATCAAAGAACAGAACAGGGTTTAACATCTAATCTACATTCTTAACATCACTGGCTGCCTCTCAAGAAATGAGAGAGCCCTAGTGCAAAGCAATACACGCTCAACTGACATCGTACAATTCATCACCAGCTGCTATGATGGTATGACCTGGAAGCAAGCTGCATGCTGGCATCTTGGCTCCAGCATACAGGACTTGCACAGATCACAGCCAGCTGCTGTTCCTTGTGGTTAAACTGAGGGGACCATGCTCTGCCAGGTACAGCAATGCAGAGGATTACATGCAATGCTTCTCCTTCCTTCCCCCTCCTCCCCTCGCTGCCTCTCCCAGAGGGACCCAAGTGAAACAAAGCTTTAAAGTCAATCCATAAGAATGTGTTTAATTGCTACTGAATTCCCTGGGGTTCACCTTGAATGGACAAGGATTGGGGAGGGGGTCAGGGGAGGAAAAGCAGCACAAAAGAGAAGCTGAACACTGCTCAGAGAGCACTGAACAGATCAATAGGCTGAGCACAACGCAGGTTGAGCATGCAGGGCAGGGGACCCACAGCTCCCAGACAAACCTGTGCTACCCACCATCTTCAGAAAGTCTCCTGAGTGGGAATATGGGCAGACCTTCTTTGTACACTGTGCCATAGCTCTGCATTAATTCCATCCTTTCCTTACGAAGCCCAGCCAACCCAGTCATGATCATGCAAGAGCCTCTCCTCACCAACATGACAAAATGACCTGGGGGGCAAGAAGAGCAACACCCTCCAGCCTGGGGTTCCTTTTGGAAAGGAAACAGTCTGGCACAGCCAGTTTCCAGTTATTTGTCAAATTTGCAAGTGCTAGAAGTAATATCCTAGCATGAGGGTGCTGACTAGAACCACTCTCCTCTCTGGACTGCCCTCTTGGTCACTGCCCATCCTGACTCTTTTACAAAGCCTGTAAAAAGATACCTTCGGAAAGCCAGAGAGGGCAAGTGTGTAGTTAGCCTAGGAGATCCTGCAAGGCCTGGAGTCCCAGGTGCTGTTGGGACAGAGAACAATTCTCAGTCTGACTCTGTCTTACCTTCTTTTAGCATCCCCACTTTGAGGCATTTCATGAAGCGACAGGCCTGACAGGACTTGCGCCTCCGTTTCGTGATCTCACATTCATTGGTGGCCGGGCAGCTGTATTCAATATTCCCTGCAATCAAACACAGAGATGGTCACCCAGGAACCGTGTTCTCCCCACTGATCCAGGGACAGGCTGTAGTGCCCAGATATTCCCACCACCATCAGTCTGTATATGCTGTATGATTGCTCACTCATTCGCACGCACACATAACTCTGAGATCACAGCCGGCTGATGACGGCTCTTAGAGAGCCCAGAACTACTTATTAGAACACATTTCAGAAAAAAGCAATACTGCTCTTAAGTACTGGGAGAAACCTGTCCATCCAAGGGGCTGACTGCAATGCTGGGCTTTTAGGCACAATGTGTCCTCCAGGCACGTCAGCATCCCTTGTGCTGCACCCCTTATAACCTGGCCTGCTCCCTGAAGTCCAGGGCTGAGAGTGGGAGCAGTTCAGACATTAGCAGCATTCCCCTTGCTGCCAGTCTTGCTCCATGTCTGTGGGATGGATGTCACCTGTCCTTTCTTGTCTTTCTTGGGGGACCAGGGAGCTCAGAGATGGCATTTCCTCCTTTGCTTCCTCCTGCCAGCTGGCATACTACAGGTGGCAGGGAAGCAGTAGGTCTGGATTGAGAAAGACGGGTAAGATGTCCTGTAAAATGAACACAGGCTCTCTATGCAAATCTTTCCAGTTTTACTTTATTAGTCCTTGTGCACCTGCCTCTCATCCCCCTGCACAGAGCATCAGTATTTCTTTCCACATTTTCCTTTCATTTATGATCACCTCCTAACTCTGCCTCCAAGACAAAACAGGGAAAGAAGAATCCCAAATTTATTTCTGGTCACATCGTATTTTATCATAAGCCAAGAATGTAATGGAAACGTGGATGGGAGGGTCTGATATGAGGATGTAAGTGGAGTTATGCTGGTTCACAGTGTAATGCAACAATTATTTAGCCCTCGAAGACAACAGAAACGGCTGTCTCCATCCTGCCATTCACTTTGGAGGTGATGTTCCTGAAAAGGGCTATTCAATGTTTTCTGTGGAGCAGGACTGGAAATCTAAGCTTGACAGTGATGCATTGACAATGACAATACATTTAAGGCAGTCTAGCTACTGGGTAAATCAGGCAGCTCCAAAAAGGATTTCTGAGCTCTACAGTCAGTTCAGAAGAATGGGAAAAGTTGGTTTTGTGGTTTAGAGCAGGAAATTGAGATTCAAGAGTTCAAAGTTCAATCAGAGCTGTAGGGAGGAGTGTAGGTAAGAGCTGAGAGAACACACAGTATGGACTTCGTATACCATCATATTAGAAGTAGAGCTTACAATTTAGTAGCACGGGGACAGGACTTGATTTTTGTTACTACTTCTGCAATGGATTTCTATGTTCTTGTGCAAGACCCTTCCTTCCTCTAAATAAAGACCAACAATCTGATACATACCAATCTCTGGGGGTGGTGATTAGACCTTGGGGCTAACTAAGCAGTTGGAAAGCCCATTGGGAATCTGAGTGGAAAAACAGAGCACAGATTCAAAAGGAAGAAAGCACCATTTGATTTATCTCACTGTGCTTGGCCCATACTGGGTGAAACCCCAGGAGCAGACAATCCCCAAAGCCTAAAGGTGATCTGCCTGCTAGTTATAAACCTTCTACCTCTTGCCTCTTGTTTTGTTACAAGACTTGCAATTTGCCCCTAAGCTCCAGCCCAGCCACCCCATTCCTCACCATTGCTCATCTGCCCCCAAAATGCAGTCTGTCTGCAGGAGCAGAGTGTGCTGCACAAGTTGCTTCCATTCAGACTGTATTTCGTCATTGTGCAGCACCTGAATTTCAATAGCCAGCAATGTATCAAGGTTCTCAAAGAGCTGGAAATTGAGATTCAGGCTTGATCTCAAGGTAATAAACAAACTCCTGCTCTAGACACAGAGCTCCAGCACATTACAGACCCATGAGTACGGAGGCCCTGACCTCATGATCAGATACTTGCTGTGCCCCACACAGGAAGGAACAGAGCAGGAACAAACCTGGGATAAAACTCAAACACAGTCTCACTTTGGAAGGTTTTACCTTAGTTTCAATGCCCATCTTTCTCACCAAAGCCAGGACCAGAGTTCTGGAGAGATGTAAGATTTCATGTTATGTGGTCCCAAGGCCAAAAAATTTGCCCCCTAACACAGAGACACTACACCAAGGGCACTGAGCCCTTATGGCAGTGGGAGGCAGTGACAGCCCTCATCTGGCAGCTCAAGGTTCCTCTACACTGTGTCAAGCAGATCCCCCAGCTTCCCCATGCCTCCAGCCCACGGACCCCTTGACAAGCAAAGTACTGGAAATGGTCTACAAAACCTACATCACAACTAAATGTGACAATGTCAGAGTAGGTACTGGTTACCATATACACACTGTATGTACAGCTTGAATAAGCAGTTTTCAAAGGCACTTCTGTACTGGGATCACGACCATTAAAGGAGCAGAGCCAGAGGAGGGTGGGCACTGGGCAAGCTCCCCTTCCTGGATGGCGAAGCAGTGGCAACCATATAGTGCAGCAGCCATGTGGTTTGCTGGTAAGCACAGGTGAAAAAACACACCCAGCACTGGTGGGACGTCCCATTCAGCATGCCTTATTGCCTTCACATTGAACACAGGCTCATGTGCCCCTTCCACACGCCGTGCCCAGTCTAAAGGAAGAAAGCACCAGCAGCTGTGTCTTACAGCCCTCTCTACAGTCGCAAATGCTAGAGGTGAGGCCCACTGTACCGTCTTCACACAAGACAATGCTGCCAAAGTAAATGGTGTTTTATATCAGGCCCCAAAACATGCTCTGCGCTGCATGGATTGAGACCTACAGCTGGGGGCAATACCTGTCATTATTGCAGGAAACAGGGACATCACCAGGGAAGGCACAATCAGCATTACCCAAGCAGAACTCGTCCAAGAAAAACTATCGTCTCCAAAACTTTAACAAAGTTCTCTGACTTTTTTTTGTGTGTGTGTCTCAATTTCTTTTATGGGTCCTGGGGCTGGCTGCCAGCACAGTGAGCTGCTCACAGCTCCCTGTAATTTCTGTAAGTGCCCTGTGATAAAGTGATGAGATTAACTCATCAAAATTCCAGCAG